GCTACCTAGGTGTCCCCATGATTGATATTTGTTAAGCGAAAGAAGCACTGAATGCGGCCATTCATTCATTCATATGCCTTTCTTCTTCTGATTAGACGTCTTCAGTCACTGCCTACTGCACTCTGAATTTAACCCTCCCTCAGCTCAGTTTCAACCCACCTGTCTAGCTTCATCTCTCACTGCTCCTCCACGTGTTCAAAGAGCCTTCTAGTATGAAGTAGGAGTTAAGCTCACCAGATTGCAGCCTGTCTCTGCAGCCTCTGTGCCTTTGCTTGGGCAATTCCAATCATCTGGAAGTCACTTTTTCTCTGCACTTCAAAATCTCATGTTTTGAACTCATGCCTCAAGGCCTGGCTCAGAAGAAGCTCATGCCATGTGCTGGCCCTGTTCCTCCCATTCAGAAAGAATCTCATGCTTTTTTGAATCTTCATAGCACCTTCTTTCATCCTTTGTCTTCTGAATTTGCAATAATAAGAGATACTGAGACACGTTCATTCTCTTGCCCAGTGGACTCCAGGCTCCTTTGGGCACAGTGTTCCTGTTTCTCTCTCTTTGTCCATCAGCTTCTCCTTCTGGCCCTCCTCTTCACCACACATCACCACATTTTCTTACCAACTAGATCCTAGCACAGCCTCACACAAGGTGATGTCCAGTGAATATTATTATGCATGAGGAAATCTGTGCACATCAATGCAAAACAGTAAACTCTGGCCTGACTGGGACAAGCCCGTGGAATCACTGTGCATGGCTTATCCATACAGTGGAGTTAATAAAACTACAGACTTTACTGGGGTTGGCTAATAAAATACATAGCTTATGCAAAGTGCTTAGTCCATGCCGGCACATTATTAGGTGCTCAGTAAGTGTTGATTGTTGTTATTGATAGGTCTTAGGTACCCAGAAAGCCAAAAGGACATTTTCTTTCCATTTTCCATCCAGGCCAGTTCTCTGACATTTACAATCAGATAGTTCTCTCCATTTCATACCTAGCCATGTGGCTTGCCACACATCTACCCCATTCAAGAGTCTTCCCTGTGTGGCTGCCTTCCAGCTAGCCAAGCAGCCAGCTTCTCCCCTCACCACAAACTGTCTCACCTGCTAGACCAAAGGAAAAGGAAAGGAAAGGGAAGATCAGGCCAGTCAGGGACTCCCCGGCCTGGGCCTGGGAGAGACAGGACAAAACTGACATGTGAAGCAAGGCTGGCTGCTTCCATTAAACTAACTCCCTCTGTCACCTGAGCTGCTGACAATGAGGCCCCACAAGGACATGGATCTGGTCTGGGTGCTTTTCTGTCTTTGCCTCTCTGCACACTCCTCTTCTCTTGCTGGATGCTCAGATAGCTCCAGAGGCTTTCAGGGAGGTGAAGTGCTGTGACAGAGCTCTCTTCTTCTCTCCCTCTCTTTCTGTTTCTGCATTACTCTCTCTGGCTCTGGCTCTCCTCCATCTGTCTTGTTCTACAGATCTGCTTTTTATTCTCTTTAGCTGACCTCGCTGCAATTCCCATCTCTTGCTTTTCTGTCATTTCTCCAGCTATCCCTTTATTGTTTCTGTCTCTCTTAGGCTGACTCTTCCTCCCTCCCTCCTGCCCTCCCCCTGCTCCCCACTCCTCCACCTGCAGTTTGGCTCCCTTGCTCTCCTTTTCATGGCCATAATGCTGCAGTGGTGAGAAGGGGACCATCTATCTGTCAGAGACAGGCTCCGCCAACCTCGACCACCTCTCTCCTGCTGCTGGCAATTATCTGGAGGTTGGCACAGGGCCCGGAAACTGCCGCTTGCACCACCCCGCAGCTCAGGGTCTGCTCCCCCAACCCAGCCCCCTTGGAGGACCGCTTGGTGCCATGCCCAGGATGTGACAACCTGCAAAGGTCACACACACTCCAGAGAAGATGGACTGCTCTACGGGTGGAATTGACATTGGGCAGATTTGCAAATGTCCCTCCAGACTTGCTAGTGTTTCACAGAGGCAAGGAATGAGGTGCAAAAAATAGAAACTATAAATTGCACACAGTGCCCCTACCTCCCCTTAACACACACACTTTAACACTGCCATACATCCAGATTTTTACTTTCTTTATTTTTTTAAAGGGTGGCTTTCGAATCTACCTTATTTGAAATATTCGTACAAATTCATCCATATGACATCACTGGAAGTTAGTGTACCTGGTACCACCAGGCTGGGAGCTGACCTGTTATTTATAGGAACCTATGTGGCTCTGTAAGCTGAGTCACAGCTGTGACCTGGCACTCTTTTTCAGAAGTCGATGAGATTTCAGAGCTGACAGAGACTTTTGAGGCTGTTTATGCCAAGACTCTCATTTCGGGGCTGGGAAATCTGTAGACCAGAGTGGCTGAGAAAGGTACCCAGAGTCAACCGGCAAGTTGGTAGCAAAGGCCAGGGACTCCAGTTTTCAGGCTCCTGGTAAAATGCCCATCTCACTCTGTACTCCACTGCCTTTAATGAGGGAGGAAACAGATCTTCCAGGAAGACAAATAGTTCTACCCAGGTTACTCAGTTATTAGGTGTTAGAGTCCCAGTATCTTCTGATATCTCATTTATTTGTCCTTGAAACCAGCCAACCAACTCATGAAGCATAATGGCAATCAGAGATATTGAGAAAAGGCTGGGCTAATTACCTTGGGCTGATTTGGGCCTTTGCAGATGGTTCCAAGCATGGAGACTCTTTTCATCAATACTGAAGCAAAGGTATCAATACTGTCAGAAAGTGCTTACGTATGTTCAACGAGTCTTTCCCCCAAGGTCACCATGTGTTATAGGTTCATTTCATGGTAGGGCATCCTGTACCCGCTGTGTGCATGCAGCCACATTCCACGTGCTCACTCAGAGACCTTTGTGTCCAGGGTTAGTGGCTCACTGCCACCAGCCTCACGGTAGGCTATATGATATGTGCTGTGCACTGTGATGCTGCCTCACTTGACATGTGGAAAACCCCAAGTGGAAATGGAGGCATGCAGAAAGGGTGACTGAAGGGTTAGAATATGCTATGAACCTGGCTGTGACCAGATCACGGCTCACTGTTGGGTCGAGTGTAAAGTTGCAGACTGAATGGCCTTGGTTGCTCCCCTGTGGCCACCAGTTAACAAGAGCTGCCATTTATTGGGCATCTGCAGCGCACCAGACACTGTGTCAGAGGCTCCTCCAGCATCATCTCCCTTAATCCTCACTGCCACCCAGGATGGTGGGGCCACCATCACTGTCTGGTTCCCTAACTGAGGCTCAGGGAGGCCAAGCCCACAGGGCTGTGGGGAGAGGGAGTGGAGTGCTGAATTGAGGATTTCTAGCCACAAGGGCCGTCCCTGTTCTTTATCCTCTGTCCAACTGCCTCCTGGTTTGTCTATTTACACAGACTCCAGACCCAAGGCTCCTGGAAAAGAAGGGACAGCAGAGTAGTGCAGGTAGTGCAGATGGGCCTGCTTATTTGGGAGGTGAACCTTCCTGTTTACTTTCTAGGCTCCCAAGGGCATTGTAGGGTATCACAGAGCGAATACTTATCAAGTATCATCCACCCTAAGGGAAACAAAAAGTTAATGCATGCTCAGAATGTTTGTTTTATTTTTTAAAAAAGAATTTTTTAAAACATTTTTATTTAATTTTAAGAGACAGAGAGACAAAGTGCAAGCGGGGGAGGGGAAGAAAAAGAGAGGGAGACACAGAACCCAAAGCAGGCTCCAGGCTGTGAGCTGTCAGCACAGAGCCCAACACGGGGCTTGAACTCATGAACCAGATCATGACCTGAGCTGGTCAGATGCTTAACCGACTGAGGCATCCAGGTGCCCCTAGCATGTTTTGTTTTAAAAGGGAAGGAATAATCCTAATGATGTGAATGATAATATAGAGAAACATTGAGAATATTGAGTACTTAGTAGGTGACAAGCAGTTTGCTATGTGCCTCACTTATACATCATAGACATCTGTGAATTAGGCATTATCCCATTTTGCAGGTGAAAAAAACTCAAGTCCAAAGATATTAAAAGCAAATAATCCTCCCACCCAAACCTCTTCATATTTATTCACATTTTAAGTGTGGGACTAGGATTCAAATGTCAAACTGCTTGCTTCCAATGCTTTTCCACCATCCTGCTCTCAAGGAAGTACACATTACCAGTTAAAAAGCTTTCTATTAAATAATTAAAACTTCAGAATGGTCCCAGTCCTAAAAGGGATACATTTCAATTACCTGGAACAGTCACCGAGGCAGAACAGCCTCTCTGTCTATATACTCTTCCTCGACTCTCTTTCAAATCATATATCTCGAAACCCTCAGGCTCAAGTGGACAATATACACATCCTGCCTGGCAGCTTCATGAGGGGGCCCTAAAAACTGGGGAATTTACAGGCCCTGCTAGACGGCCTACAAGGCCCTCGCCTGCTCGGCATGCAGGACGCCGGCTGGCCAAAGACTCTGTGGAAACAAGGGCCCAGTTCCAGCAGTCAGCTGGGCTCTAAAAGTCTATGCCTTTGGTACTGAGGTTTTATGTTCCCTTTCGATGCTGTTATGGGGGACAGTTGAAGAGGAAATTCCCTACAGTTCAACAGACTCAAGATTTATGGAGTAGTAGGAAAATATTTGCCCTGTGTTTGAAACTGCTGAAGAGGGGAAAAGAAATGTTGTTTTCTACAGATTTATGAAAACAGAAACATTGATTTGTTTTGCTTGGGGTTTGTCACTTTTGTGAATGATGGCTTGATGTTTTCGGGTGCTTTGAGAGGGCCACATTTCTTTCAGGTAAGCCTGGCACCTGGGAAAATTGTGAGGTTTGTCTCCTGCACCTTCTTCCCCATCCTCTGTGTCCCTCCCATCCTGTGTTCCCTGTAATCTAGACTTTCCCAGGGAGGAAAATAATCTAGCATTAATTCATAGAAATTATGAAGAATGGATGGCTCACAATTCCTTTTGTATTTGGTCTTTTAAAAAATGCTGAAGGTGAGTAATGATAGCTAACTGAAATATATTCTCACTCTCAAATGATATGATTTTAGGCACTTGGGAGAGAAATAAGTTTGAGTGGAATCTGAAGATCTTTTCACTGCCCTTCATGCTGTATCATATAAGCAAAGGTGGGTTCTGACTAAACAGGAGACTGGCTCTGGCTATAAACATAGATTTTGCTTTAGAAGTAGCTCTTTAGAGAGCCAAAATTATTCTAGACACTTTGATCTCAAATATCAGCATGAGGATTCCAAGCACAGTTGAGTGATAGATCCCAGGGCCAAAACTAAATTAGAGTAGGGCCTAAAAAAGGAGATTAGTCTGGGTCTACCAAAGGATGGCTCAGAATGCTGCCCCTAGCAGAGGAGGAAGAAAGAGAAACGCAATTCTCATTAACAGATCGCTCAATTACACCCAAGCTAGGCAGCTCCTGGAGATGACCGTGTCACTCAGATTCATCCTCACATTCTCCAATGTCCCTAACGCAAAGGAGCATCTCTGAGAAGTGACCACAGTAATTCTCTCCCCCGTGCAAGTTCCCCTAATGCAATACAAATTAGCGAACTCTGATTTACTTCTGCATGTCTGCTCAGCAACCACGGCTGCCAGGACCAGCAGGTTGTCAGTGTCGGGAATAATAAGAAACAGAAGGACTTGGAAAGAGTACAGTAGGAAATAGAAAGTAGGGATAAAGTTTTGGGGGGACAGTGAAGATGAGTTGGGGAAAACAATGTTGAATGGCCTTTGAGAGAGAGGTAAGAGGTGAAATCTGGTAGGAAGGATTGGGGCAGGTGCCCAGGGCCTATGACATTATGTATTGAGACAGGATTTGAGAAATCTCCACTTGGCATCCAAAAAAGTTAAATAAAGGCAAGCCAAAGCTTTTCTCTCTCCAGCTTCCAAGTCACACAGTGAGACCCAGGAGGCAGGAGCCAATAAAATCTTAAAAACACCCGAGGACCAGGCCCACACATTCCAAATGCTTCTTAGGGTGACTATTTTTTGCAACAAAGCAAAATGAATTTACAAGTATCTCATTAAAGCTGCAGGGGAGGAAGAACGTGAGAAGTTTCCAGGGAGGGAGGGATGGTAAATGGAATTAATAGCACAGAACTCATTAGGACCCATTATTACTAATTTAAGATATGTGAAATGTTACTGATATTTTCTTTATTTGGTGCATAGTCTCTTGTTGGTTGGAGTAGATTTCGTTAGAGCTTCTTTAGGGTTTTTAAACCTAGACTCTAATCCTATTTTACCTAAGTTGGAATTCACAAAGGAAGATTCTCTTATTGTGGACTAGTTTTGGGAATAGTCAGGAAGTTCCCCTGAATCACAAATTCTGGGCGGGCCCTACTGTAAGGTGGATTGGGCAACCCCAGAGTGTACCTGTGGGGACAGCACACCAGTAGAAGACTTCGCATAGAAGCGGTGGTGGGAAAACAGGTGAGGGGTCAGTGTGTGATTTGTGGAGTGCTGTCAGTGAGGAGTCTCAGCCTCTACCTCCTCTCCTTTCTACCTGCTTTCCTTTACCTGCCTTTGGTGGCTGTCTGAGATGTATATGTTGGAGCCGTCACTGGTTTAAGGCAGCACTGTTTCCTGTCAGATGAGAATATGCTTGAGAAGGTAATAGATCACAGCTTCATGAAAATGGCCTCTCAATCCATCAGAAGCCAATGGCTCTGTCTTCAAGAGAAGTTTTGAGTATTAAAGGTAGTTGGAAGAGCCCAGAATATAGAGTGAACTAGTGACCAGAGTGGGTAGACAGGGGTGGGGCACATGAGGGCACTGGGTGCTGGGTGGGAAATGGCTGAGGGTAGGAGGAAGGAGACTCAGTGAAGGGGTAGGGGAGCGAAGATGCTGGGGCTGAACACTCAGTTTTCACTCTTGTCTTCTGGTTTGGTCAGGCTAGGCCTGACCTGCAGGCCAGGCCTGCAGCACACAGTTATAGGTTCTTCTAAAGAGGGGTTCCTCCCTCAAAGCCATGATGAAAACCACCCACTGAAGTGAGACAGGTCATAGCTTGAACGCTTCTAGCTTCCAAATCTGGTCCCCAAATGTCAGAACTGGATAGGGCTACATACTCCCTTGATTCCTGACTATTTTCTTTTCTTTTTTTTTTTTTTCAACGTTTTATTTTATTTTTGGGACAGAGAGAGACAGAGCATGAACGGGGGAGGGGCAGAGAGAGAGGGAGACACAGAATCGGAAACAGGCTCCAGGCTCTGAGCCATCAGCCCAGAGCCTGACGCGGGGCTCGAACTCCCGGACCGCGAGATCGTGACCTGGCTGAAGCCGGACGCTTAACCGACTGCGCCACCCAGGCGCCCCGATTCCTGACTATTTTCTTAGCAGCTCTATGTACTGGGCACTGGGTGGGGTCTTGGGAATAGAAGGTTGCAACTTGCAGGGCACTTTTGGGAGATGGATGGCAGGTTAGAGTCTTCTACTTGAGCTGGCACTCTTTTCATTGCTGGAGGGAGTTTGGATCTGACAATCACCTTCATGGAATCACTCATTCAGCAGAGGGATCGCTACAAATCCACTCTAGCCCAGAACTGATGGCCATGCACGGTCCTCCCATGTCTAATCTTCCTCCGCTATACAGACAGCATCTCATTATAATTGTGTTATTTTAACTGTCATTTGTACCCCAAGGTACAGTTTCCGTATATCAGTATACTCACTTGCACCAAACATTCTGTGAGTTTTCTGACTTTGCCAGAACTGTGAAAGGTCATGAGGCAGGATAACTCAACTCACAATCTAGATTTCAAGTGACATGATTCTACCTCTACCTTGCTGTCACAGCTCCACAAACCTATGAGGACATGGGGGCTCAGACATCATATCATGGCTAGTAAATGTGCTTTTGGGCAAATTAAAAATCCTTCTGGGTGCCAGCTTGCTCTTCTATGAAAAGAAATATTCAAAGCTTTCTTCTAGCTCTAACCTGATCACTGAGGTGGGGATGGCTGACGAGCCAGTAGAGGTGGTGCTGAAATCAGTGCATGGCTAGCTGATCATTTCAAGACACTGTCAGGAAGAAAAGACTCTTTAGCAAAGGGGTAGTGGGTGAACAGATTTGGGGGGTGTGGGTAGCCCATGGCCCAAAGGGAAAGGCTCCTCTTCCTGAGTGTCACCCCGAATGGGGGTTTCCTGCCCAGAAGCTGCAGGGCCACTCTGGGTTTTGCAATGATGCCAATTCTCCTTTCCTAATGTTCCGGGAAGAACGTTTTCATGGAACACAAATCACTGGTCCTTCATCCTGTGACAGCAAATGGAGACTAATGATAGGAACTGGGACTTAAGAGATGCCTTTACATTAGTGTCTGTTTCTGCAAACTTGTTCCAGAAAGCTCCTTTGTGCTGCCTGGATTCTGGCCTGAGGGCCTCCCCCTGGAGGCTGCAGGATGGCAGATGTTAGGCAGCAGTGCCTCCCCTGGGGCAGGCATCTCTTCTACATCTATCTCTCTTCATGCTGTAGCCTGAAACCCCCAGTTCCCTCATACCCACAGCAAAGCCCCAGCATGGCATCTGCCCTTTGGCACATCTCTCAACATCATTTTCCTGGGACAGCCTGCATGTGCTTTTCCTCAGCTTCCTGCCACCCTTCTCAGCCACTTTTGATCCTTGATATTCAGTGCCCTGTTGGAGTGCATCTGGATCGAGGATATCCCTTCTCCTCCCACTTCTAAGAGGTAGCTACTCCTATTTTCTCCATTTTACAGATGGGAAAATGGAGGCATAGTGAGGTAAAGTGATTTGGTCAAGGTCATGAAGATGGCAAGTTTCAAAGCCAGAACTGGAACCCAGGCAGTCCAGCTCCTGAGATTGCTGTTGACCTTGTGGTTCTTTATTATTATTATTATTATTATTATTATTATTATTATTGTTATTTTACCAGCACAGTCTTCTGACTCCCAGTCACAACTTCCTGGTCCCTATGAAAAAAGCCACCACCCAGAGACTCTTTCTAAACTGTTGCTTTCAAACAATGCTTCTAAGATTCTAGAAGTCTCCCAACTGCCTGTGGACCTCAGACAGAGGGGGTAAAACTGACCTGAAGCAAATGTGGCCACCTTCATGAATTTGCCACCAGAACTGGTGCTGGTGAGAACCCCAATGAAGAGGTGGGCCTGGGCTGGGTGCTTCTTTTCATTTTCCCTTCTGCATGTACATGTAGTTGATTTTGGAGGCCTTGCATCAGGGAGAGAGAGAGGAGCATGTGCTGCCCTCTCTAAACCCTACCAGGGATGCTGAACATCTGGGATGGGGTAGGGGAGCTTTTGGGCACCACTGTTAAGGAATAGGTTGCAAATGTGCTATACCATTTATTCTGCCCTACTGATCCAATCTTAAATAAAATCCAATCTTACTTGATAACTGAATCTGAGACTCAAAGAGATGAAATAGGTAAGAAACAAAAAGAAAAACAAAAACAAAACACCTCTTCATAGACCACAAAATACTGTGCAAGATGTGCTTTGTTATAACTTATTAACATTCAACTTTCACCCAAAGTGGAATTGATTTTTTAAAATTCATATTCATGCATGCTCCCTAATTGGGGGGAGTGTCTGGCAGCCCTGAGGTCTCTAGGTCCCTGCATCTCATGGGTCCTGTAGGCTCTATCCCTCCAGGCACATCTCGCCTGGAATAATAAGGCATTTCTTCACATTCCCTCCACCCCACTGCCCATCTTGCATTCATTCCATAAGGCTGTCTTTACCTCAGCTTTGAGAATCTACAACAGCCCTGCAGCTGGGAAGAGAGTGTATCATTTGGCTTTTTGCCCAGAAAATAAGATGCTTCAAAAAGGTCATCAAAAAAAAAAAAAAAGTCTCTTGGGGGAGAAAGGGGGGAAAAAAACCACCTTCTCTCTCAAGGTTAATTGAGTGGAAGGTGAACTTTCATCACATGTTGTCCTTTTGTGAAATCACAGCCTTAAAGATGTGGAGAGGGCAACTGACAGGATGGCATGGGCTGGGCTGCTGTGCAGGGACATGGTGCCTCCAAAGTTGGCTCTGAGCTTCCCAGTCCTTGGACAGTGTCCCCACCGAGCAGGAGCAGAAGGGAGTGTACAGGCATGCAGCCAGAGCCCAGCCTTCATAGGATATAAAGGAATGTAGGCTGGACGCCTACCCTCAGGGAGCCTTTGCTCTGGAGGATGAAAGGAGGCCCACAGCCAGCCTGTGTGAAATGAATCAGAGACTAGTAGTGTGTTGTTGGTGCTGGCTCTGCAGGTGGTGGGTGCTCAGGGCTGACGGGGTTGCCTGTGACCGAGAGTGCTGCTCTGAGCTATGGAAAAAGCCTGACCTGTTTGGGGCCTTTGCACTTGCCTCTTACCATGTGCGTTGACTCTGGTTCTAGCTGAGCATAATTTTGCTTCTTAAAGGGCACGTGGCAATATCTGGGGACATTTTGCCTGTCATGATTGGGAGGGAAGTGCTACTGGTACCAAGTATGTAGAGGCCAAGGATGCTCCTAAACATCCTACAATGTGTAGGTCACCCCCCCACCCTGATCTAATAAAGAATTATCCAGCCCCAAATATCAATAGTGTCAAAGTGGAGGCACCTTGCCCTAGAACTAGCTCCCACCACCTCCACCCTGGCCACATAACTTCCTCTTTCCTTTACTTTATCTAGGTGTTTGCTCAAACCACCTACCAAAAATCCCTTCATGACCATCTTATATAAAAGAGAAACCCTGATCTCATTCCACCACTCCTTTCCCTCTCCCCATGATTCAATTTTTTCATGGCTCCTCTCCTTGTCTGATATGTGCATGTGTGTGGCTGTGTTTTTATAGTAACTGCCTTTCCACGCTAGAATGTAAGCTCTGTGAGAACAGGGATGCTGCCCCTTTCGCTCCTTACTCTGTTCCCAGTGTCTACAACAGAGGATATAGTAGATATTCAGTCAACATTTGTTGAGTTAATGAATAAATGGACACTAATCCCAAGCAGCTGTGTGACCTTGGGCCAGTCACTTAGCTCCTGTAATATGCACTGAAATTCTCATGTGAAAAAAAGAAAGCAAAGGATTAGAATGTTTCAATGGGTCTTTCCAGCTTAAAGTTTTTTCTATTCTCTAAGAAAGAGTAATCTGGGAGTATTGGATGACCCAAGAGGGCAGGTTTCAGTAAGGCAGCACTGTAAAGGCACAGCACGTGGGGTGGAGTCCTACCTGGAGGGGATAGTGTCTGGATTAAATAAGCAGAGCACTTAGCCCAAGGCCAGCTTCCCACCAAATGCGTGGTGAATGGCAGCTGTTGTTATTCTTGAAGAATTCAGGGCCAGGATTGGGTGAGGCAAGAGAGGCACTAACCTCAGGCACAAAATTGAAGGTGTGACCAAAAAGCTCTGCCATCTAGACAGATAATATTTTAATCCAATATTTTTTAAAAATAAAAATTAATGCAAAAATCCACAAAGAAGGAAATACCAAGATCTTAGCTAAAGACAAGATCAGTATGACTGTTTCCTTTTGCTTTAGGTTCCCATAGGCCTTGGCACAGTGCTGCTACTGATGCTGTCTTTATTTGAAATTTTGAGATATTTCTCATCAAGGATTTTTTTGGCATGAATTTTGATTTTTAAAAAACATGGCACTGAAATATGATTTGTCTTGATTACTGAGATCTCCATCACTTCCTTCAGTTTTGTGCCTGAGGGTGAGCACCTCACCTTCTTCGCCTGGCTGGAGAGCAATGGACTGTCTAGAAGCAGAGAGAAGCTCCAGACATCCCTCTCTGAGGAAGAGAAACAGGGTGAGGGACGGGTTACACAGATGATGGGGATTAAGGACAGGGGAGCTTTTGGACAGCGGGTGGGATCTTAGAATTTGAGGGCTAGGTTTCCCAGGCAGACTGGGGCTGAGGAGATGGTCTGATTCCAAGTGAAAAGGAAAAAGACCCCAGGGCTGGGATGGCAGGTCCTGGTTTGCTTGGGACGGTCTTGGGTGCACCAGCTGTCTCAGCAGTGATGAATAATTCCTCCTCTTGCTCTCTAAAGTGTCCAGGGCTGGGCCACCCAGGATGTATGGTCATCCTGGGTCCGGCTGCTGTCCATGCCAGTGCTGTAGTGGGCCTCTCTGAACCCCTACAAAGGAGAAAGACACTGCCCTCCACCTGAGACCCGGTGTCTGATGATGTCTGGTGCTGCTGGAAGAATTCCTCAGACCCATCTCAGACCTTAGCTATGCTTCATAGCTTACCCTTTGCCCTGTAGCCATTTTTCATGTGTCTGACCTTGCCCTTATCTTGCCAGACTCTTTGCCCCTCATGGCCTTGCCGTGTGACCTGCTGCCAACACCACAGAGTAGCTGTCCTGGGAGCAACACTCACAAAGAAGCATGGCATTGTTTTAGTCCATGGTGTTGGAGAGAAGAAAAAAGTGAAATTGACAAGAAAAATAATCAATACATAAAATTAATGTCAAATTTTTTAAATGCCCTTATTTCTTTGGTATTAACCTACACTTGGATTCCCTTTCACTTGCATTGTTTGTCCTGAGCTTAAAATACATGTATGGACTAATGTGCAAGGTACCTCGCCAGAAATAGCAGATTCCCATCTCACTTATGCATGGTATGAACTAATACAATGATTTAGTGTGTGGTATGTAAAATTAAGCACTAAGAAGCTCTGAAACCAGAAGGGCATGCACTGTTTTGATGACTGCAAATAATGCCCTTTGATTTCTTTTTTTTTTTTTTTAATGTACTTGTTTTCATTATCATTGCATATTGGATTGTTAAGTTTTCAGACCCTGGACTACATATTTTACGGGCACTGTCACCTTTTAACTTTAATACATACAGCAATTCTGACAGCGGGTGCTATTGCTTCCATTTTAGAGATCAGAAAATTAAGGCTTATAGGAGTCAAGTTGCCAAAGTCACAAAGTTGGCACATGGCGGACCTGGGATTCAAACCCAGTCTTTTCTGAGTTCAAGCTCTCAGCTAAACCCCAAGCACTGTTTTGCCTACCATGGAGGGTTAAACCAGCAGCCAAGGACATCTCTTACACATGTGTCCAGTCTTGTGTCAAAGGGGCATGTGACCAGACCTGTCCCTACCCTTTGTATGAGCACCTCCCACCCCCAGTCCTAAAATGTTCTGCTTAACTGAGGTTTGAGTTACTGAATGGGCAAACAGATAAACCAGGAGGTAATTATTTATATAACCAGCAAAATAATCTTTCAAAATAGAATATCATTAGTCCTTTGAGTAGTTTATTGATGACTCATGATTCTTAAAATCTCTGATAGGAAAGGAATTTAGAAGTTCATCTGATGCAAACTTCCTTGACTACTGAATTGAGATGCCATGAAACTTAAACTAAAAGAGTCTATTGGAGTGAAATTGTGGATAATCATGGATATCATCTCTAAGATGATAATGTGAATGTGAATAGGAAGGAAGAGTTCACTGGACTCAATCTGATTATTTATTTTTCAAGTATTTTTATATCCAATTTTGGGAATAAATAATTTTATCCAAATCTTCCTCTCCCTCTTTTCCATAATCCAAATTCTGTCCATTCTTCAAGTCCTAATTTAATTGTAAGTTTTTTCATGGAAATTCCTCAATGGTGGGACAGCTATTTTTCCTTCTGGACTTCCATTTTTCTCAGTCTTGTTTATGTCACTTAGTGTTTGATTTTCAGACTGCATTCTAATAGTTTCATCATTCTAACTGATTGAGTGAAGGACATAGAAAGTGTATATTCAGTTTCTTGCTTCCCCAGAAGCCCCTCACTTAGGGATTGACTTTGTAGCAGGTGCTTTCAGGGCCCCGCCCTACTCTTTGGACCCTTCAGTGGGCTCCAGCTAACTTAAAAATGTCAGTATCTGCCTTTGTGTGCCTGAAGGGTCCCCTTCCTTCACCCTCAGTAGGGGAAAGCTTGCTCTTTGGATATATGGCAGGCCAGAGTTTCAAAGAGTTACCACCCTCTAGCAATAGCCCTCAAACTAATGAAGCTCTTAAGTTGGTATATAAACACCCCAGCTCCCTCACTCCTTGAAGGGGTTCTGAATCATGTGCTTTGCACCATTTCCCAGAGTTTTCTTGAGAGGTAGGCTCCAGCGGTCCATAGCAGTAGCTGGCTAAAAAAGTCATGTGCCCTTTATTTATTGCATTTTCTCCTTGTGTTACCTGCAGTGCTCAAGTAGATAGTTTACACTCACATCAGGATCTGCTTCTGGGGAACTCAAACCAAGACAGGTATAGAGGATATTGTCAATATTGACTTATTGGTTGGATGATTAGCTGACTGTCAGTGTTTTTCCTTGCAGGTACAGGGATTGTGCGTTTTTTTTCGGAAGCCATGGTGCTTTTCTGCCCAGTGGTACTCATTCATTCCTAGTTGAATGGAACAATGATGAGGGCAAGGATTCCCACCCCAGGTTCATCTAGCTCTGTTCACTACTCTGTATTTGTGATCTATTACTGACTTCGGTAAGTAGCAAAGAGCCCAGGGGAATTATGTCAAACCTCTATTCCCTCTCTCCCATCCCTGCTGCTACCAGCTGCATGCAATTCTCATGTTTTATTGTCTTTACATTGATTACCTTCTGACAAGGCCAGGAAGAAATGCTGACCCTTGGTTACAACTAAGCAAAGGCCCCTTCCCTTTGGAAACACAAAAAAGAATGAGAAAATGAACAACAGAAAGATGTTTCCTAACAGGGCCATGTCAAATTTATAGATAAATAAAATATCAAAGATCAAATGAGGCTAGATCAGCAGTTTGGATCTCTCCCCAACCAAGCAGAGAATATGCTGTCGACTCCGTCTTGGACTGATTTCCAACTTTGTGTTTCACAGCTGTAGCCAGGCAGAGTACGTCCAATAATGCTATTTGTTTTCCACTTAAAAAAAAAAAAAAAAGGCTGGGGAAATATATAAATGGTTCATAGGAGAAGAGGGCATTAGCAGACAGTCAGTCTGACCAAAGCGAGACAGGCAGATGGTTTGTGGGCCTGACGCCAGCTGGGTGTTTCCATAAGTGATCGCATATCTCCTCTCTGTGCCCCAGCACTCGGCTTGATTAAGAGGTCAGGAGCAGGCTGCCACAGCACGAGGCCAGAGCACACATGATATACGGCCAACCTGTCGGTCGCCTAGAAACAGCTCTGTAAAGGGGCCCAAAGACAAATCAATTTATAAGCCCACAAGTTTGGGCCCAGTAGTCTTGGCTGTTATTAAAACATGAAGTTTGATTCTTTGGGCTTGCTTTCTCAAATGTCACTCAGCCCCTTTAACTTTGACTGGACATCACTTCTTTTCCTTTTTAATACAGTAGTATCTTTGGATAAGTGATAATACCTTCCAGGTGGGATTCCGGGAAGTGAGTGAGGCTGGAGGCAGGCAGGCAGGAGAGGGATGCATTCAGGGAAAACTGAGGTGAGGTCTGGTTCTCTTTTCTTCATTTGCTGAGCACTGGGTGCTCAGTACTGTGGAGAAGTACAGGGAGAGGAGGACACATCATCCTTTTCTGGATGGTGAAGGTTTATGTGTATAAAGCAGGGCAACCCAAAGATGCAAAGGGCTGAAATGAGTGATGTGGATAATGCAAATTTTTAAATGGTCGGCGAGGTGGTCAGAAAAAGCCTTAGAGAGGAAGTGGAACATGAGGTAGGTGTGATTCACACAAATGAAGAAGTCAGATTTGCAGAGATGCAGCAATCATCTGGGTAACCTTCGGAAAGCCTCTTAACCTGTATATGCTTCAATAGATTTTATCCTTGCTTTTCAGAGAGCATAGGATTGAGAACTTTCCAGAGAGAGGACTCAGAGAACAAAGGCTAAGCATGATACTCTAGGGCCAATGAGGCACTAGTCTGCCTGGAGTGGGCCTTAAGACTTTGTTCACTGATCTGTGAGTAATCCTATTCTCAAGTGATTTCCACGGCAGACCTGAATGGCTCTTGGAATGCTGCCTGCTGGCCACACCTTCCCCTGCTATGTCCACTCTGCAAACTTATCTGTCCAGTTACAGATTCTGGTTAGTGATCTGGATTGAAATTCTGTCTTCATTCCTGATTAGAAAGATGAAGGATTGTGCTTCCCAACTATAAAATCTGTTTAGTAAATGTTTACTATATACCTACTTTTAGCGAGGCACCAATGTAAGCATGGATGGAAGAGTTAAAAGTCTGCAAGTATAGTCTGTCCCTTACTGTAAGGAGTTTGCAATCTATTTACAGGGTGGTTAAAATAAATAAATCAAGGCGTAGCAAGCCTCTGAGATAGGCCCCAACAGAGGTGTAAGCAATGTGATGGGGGTTAGAAGTAGTGGTCATTTCTGGTTGGAGGGACCGGGAAAGGTTTCCTGGGGAAGACTATGGGCAGCCCAAAGTTGCCTGAAGTTGAGGGAAGGCAGCAGTCCAGCTTTCTATCTAAAACCCTATGTGGTAAGCAGCAGTCAGAGGTAAAAGGTGACTCTTAAATTCACAACACGGTAAAGGCAACCCAGCTTGAAGGGTAGGTAAAGGCCATGCTAATTTTTGAAGGTTCAGTCTTGGTTTGCCTAGAACGCTCTCAATTTACATATTATTATTAGTAACATCCTCTTTCATTCTCAAAGTTGTCCTGGTTTGGACAAGAATTATACAGTCATCTTCGTTATAGGTAATGTTTTCAGCAGCCCTTCAGGAGCAGCCAATCTGAGCTATACCAACATAGTAGACTGGGGATGTTCCCTTGAACCAAGAAATCCTCTTTATGTTTTCTCCAAACGAACACACACAGATCAACAATGAGAAAAAGCCAAGGTATTCCTTTCCTGTAGAATGAACCAAGCAATGGAAGCAGGTGGGCACGCCAGACACACACCCATTGTCGAGGTACACTGATAGAGCATGGAATGATCACGAAAAATCTATTAACACACTCGAGCCACACTCAGTCTTGTTTTGCAGATAAACATGGTCTGTGATTATTTTACAACACTGTGAAGGTGCTGGGGGTTGTCCCTCATTTATTACTTGACTAATAAATACTTTAATTACACTTAATAAATAATGTAAGCAGGGCTCACTGAAGTGGTAATTCTTTAAATTAATTATTAACTGCATGCAAAAGGCTGCACTGCCAGTACCACTAAAAGAAAATTCAGCCTTTAATCTAAAGTGATTATTCATTATCTGGTATAAAGGCTCCATTTGCATATTATTAGGGAAATAAACTTTGGCCTCCTTGGCAATACAGATAGATCTCAAAGTCCATGCATTATGAATCTCCAAATACTAAAGTAATGATAAACAATATGTAATAAAGTCTCCAGTTTATAGCTTTATAACAGCTGGTTTTTGATTTTCCAAATATATTACAATGATAAAGTGACCAGTTAATGTATAAGCTCTTTGTGAAAGGTGGTGCCTACAGATGGTCGACTGATAGGAAACGGTAAATGTGCAAACTGCTCATTTCCCTTGAGATTGGAGCCATAAAATGATCTCAATAAGATATGAGAAGAAAATCTCTCTTTAACCCTTTTCTTAGCTGCAATCCAAATATGGGGCTGCGTTTAGCTGTCTGGTGTGTCTCTTTCTCTGCTCCTCCCAGACTCCCACCTTTCCCCTGATAAAGTGAAGGGGGAATATCTGGATATGCAGGCCTTGTGGTATCCCTGATTCTACCTTGGGGCAAAGAGGCAAGGTAAGGTTCCAGTCAAAAGAGAAAGATGATCTATAAAACAAGCAAAAGACCAAAATTCATGTGCCCCTTGGATTCTCTAACTTGGTACTTTCTCCTTGAGCCTGGGCTTCTTCCAGAGGAAGTGACTGACCCCAGATGTGATGGCTGGGGAGCAAGATGCATGGAGCAGCCTCCTAGCATTTAAACTATAAAATTCTGTGGAGAAATGATTGAAAAAGAGGTTTCTGAAGGAGAAGGAGAAATCTCTCTCCTTGACTCCCTTTGGCACAAGTAGGGTTGGGGGATAGGGGGAGGGGATGGGGGAGGAGATAGGGGCAGGGGAGAGGAGGAGGAGACAGGACGCCAGGAACTCATGAAAATGGCGACAATCACAAGGAGGCAGGGATGACCTCTTTCCCCATTTCATACCCCATCCTATTCATCTCTCTGAACCCCATTCAGAGACTATCTCTTTCAAGAGATCTTCCTTAACTCTCTGTGCATTCCAGCAGCATTCACCTACAGTGTGGGCCAGTCAATAGTCACTGATTTCTGGGAGGTGGGAAAGGGGCTACATGAGGATGAGGGGTGTCCTTTACTTTTTAAAAAGTTTTTATTTATTATTTTTTTTCAGAGAGAGAGAAAGAGAAAGAGAGAGGGGGGAGAAAGCATGGAGAGAGGAGGGGCAGAAAGGGAGGGAGAGAGGGAGAATTCCAAGCAGGCTCTGTGCTGTCAGGGCAGAGCCTGATTGATGTGGGGCTCAATCTCATGAACTATGAGATCATGACTCGAACAGAATCAAGAATTGGACATTTAACCAACTGAGCCATCCAAGCATCCTGAGGGGTGTCCTTTAAAGTGGTCATTCCAAGAACTGAAATTCATTGCAATACTGTTGCTGTGCTCCAAGTATGGCTGAAAATCCTTGAGAACTGCCCTTCATGTTTGTTTTAGTCAGCTTGCACTGCTATAACAAAATACCATACACCTTAGGTGGCTTGGATAACAGACAATTATTTACCATAGTTCCACAGGATTAAAGTCTGAGATCAGGGTACCAGCATGGTTGGGTTCTTGGTGAGGATTCTTTTGTTGACTTGTAGATGGCCACTTTATTGCTATGTCCTCATAGGGCAGAGAGAGAACTCTCAGTCTCTTCCTCTTCTTATAATGACACTAATCCCATCGGGGGCCTCTACCACCTAATGGCTCTTCCTCCTAATACCATCATACTGGGGATTAGGGCTTCAGCACATAAATATGGGGGTGGGGGCACAAACATTCCATCCATAATAATGTTTTTATGAACATCTTCAATGGGAGAAAAGTCATGTTAATAATAATCACTCTCCTCTGAGTATGAGTGATGTATGCAAATAGTTTCATGTTCATTATCTCATATTATCCCCATAGTACACTAAGAAGTAAATATCATTAGCCAATTACAGCTGAGAACACAAAGGTTCAGAGTTCAATAGCTTGCCTAAGGCCACATAGCTGGTAAGTAGCATACCCTAGATTTGAACTGAGTGACTCCAAAGCCAAGGCATTGATGAGTATGCATACTGCTCTGTCTTTTGAAGGTAGACTAAAGTCTGGGAAATAACTAGTGGTTAATGGCTGAATGTGTTTACCTTCTCATATAATTTATATCACCAATGGAACTTCTCTGGGCATTTTTTTTTAGCTCAAAGGGAATTCTTTTTTTTTTTTTTTTTCCCAAAGGGAATTCTAAGAGTAGGAGTTTTAAGCATACTACTTCTCAGTGGCATGATGCCTGGGGAGAGAAGGGCCTCATCGACCTTCTGAAATCATGCCTTAAAGGCAAGTGCCTAAGTGCCTTCTGTGGTACACACATAGGGCCAACTTCATTCTCATCTAGCCTAATCTGTAGCTCCTTGGGCCATAAAGTGTAATTAGTGTTCACACTTATTATCTCCTTCTGTCTTCCCACTATCCCCAGGCACTAGATTGGTATTATTAATATTTTTCATTTTAGAGATGAGAAAACTAAAGCACAGACAGGTTGAGCAACTTCCCTAAGTTTACACAGCAAATGAGGGAAAGACCTAGGGCTCAAATGTAGGAATCTCTGTTTTTATCAATGAAAACTCAATGAACAGATGGATGGTACATCACAAATGTTTCTCATGTCCTATCAAAAACAATGTCAATTTGACAGAAAGAGCGAAAATTCATCTGTACATTTTTTCCCTTACCTACAAGGTTCCCATCCATTATTCATGCATTCCTTCA